CATTTTGGAGTTGAGTTTGCTGGATTTAGTTTACTCTTCAGCTATTTTTCCTCTCTGATCCTTAGTTTATTGTTTTGCAATATAATATCAATCTCTACTTACACCATAGAATGTGACATAACTTTCTCAAGGCACTAAGCTTTTTGGAGGATAAGGAAAAATGATCAGGCACTGTGGTAGACAGACTCCAAAGATGACCACCACTGATTCCTTCCCTCCCTGGAGGCACATGCCACTTCCCCATCAAGAATTGAAGTTTATTTCCCACTTCCTTAAATTTGGCCTTGTGATTGCTTTCACCAATAGAATATGATGAGAACGATGTTCTGGGATTTCTGATCCTTGGTTAAAGAGTACTGGTAACTTTCATTTCCTTCGTCTTGGGATGCTTCTTCTTGGAAATCAACCACTATGCAGTGAGGAAGCCTAAGCAGCTAAGTTGAGAGGCCTAAGTGGGGGAGTATGTAATAGTGAATAAGGCATTCTGAAAGTCCACAAGAGGCAGGAACACTATGGAGAAGGAAGACAAACCTATATCTATAGTAATTGTCTACTCCAGTGAGAACAAAGGTCTACTCCTTCCCTGTTAGGAATGGTCCAGTGCAATCAAACTGCCACTAGATGGTTTCTGGTTCCCTGTAGAATTGTGTCCTTATCGAGGATTAAGCATTGATCTCTGGTATTGACATTTGGACACTCAGCAGTGGACTTAGAGAATACTCTGTTATCATTGTAATATTCCATATAGCATTGCTTCTACTGGGAACTCATTTTAAAGCAAATGAAATCTGGCAATGAGCGCATGTTCAAGTAATTCATTCAGCTTACTGTATTCCCTATCTTCCTGAAGCAGCTGGCCTGACGGAGCAGTTGGATGGCCTTTAGGAGACTCAGTTTTAGAACCATCTAGGTGATGGCACTTTGCAGGGCTAGGCTAATGTTCTGTAGGATGTGGCATATGCTCTGAATTAGCAACCAAGATTCGATGCTATTTTTCCCAGCTCCAAGAATTGAGTTGGAAAAGCTCTCTCAAAATGACCTCTCAAAATACACTAGTGATTTAGATTTTTTGTATTTTATTTTTCCTTTGCTTCCTGTTCCTACCACTTTGGACTCAGCTGAGCTAGTGGTCTTGGTTCCCAAGGGAGAAATATTTCCATCAGGGAACAAAACATTGGAAATTGAAGTGGAAATTGAGACTACTACCTAGGCTCTTTGTACCAACAAACCAACAGATTATGGAGGAGCTTACTATTTAGGCTCAGCAAGGATGGAACATTCTGGGAAGGAAAATTCTTAATTGTGGAACTGTCAGGCACATTTAGGTCCTTGGTCTCTGGGCACTGAGTGCCAGTAGAAACTTCTAGTCATTGATCTAGCTCCAAACATATCCCTCCCTTTTCCCAAATGCCCCTTAGGAATATGATATTGACCCTAGTCAAGAATTATTTTTCATTAGTGCACCATTTCCAGAGTGACAATGTTTATTTTTGTAATATTTTGATGAGCAACAACAGAATAATAAGCTTTATAAAATAATTCTTATCGAGCCAAACAACAAATTAGAGAAACGTTTTTCTTTCTTTTTTTTTTTCTCTCTCTCTCTCTTTTTATCACTCTTATTTTCTAGTTGGAGATTTATTTTTAAACTATTTTATGGATTTAAATTATGATCACAAACTTCAAGAAATTGGCCACAGTGAGGCCATTGACTTTAAAGATGTCTAGATTGGCAGTTTCAAAATCATGGATTTCAGGGTATCAGAACTCATTTGATATAGAGCAAGTTACAATACCATAGGGTTATTTGTCTTGATAGAAATACTATTTTATTAGATAAAATATTCTGCTATACAGAAGGATGTATTACACTGGCCTCTGCATAGCAAGCTCAGGCTCTAAATTAAACTTAATTTGTGCCAATGGGGATTGCATCAGCTGGTTACACACACACACGCACGCACACACACATAATACACACAACTCTGGTGATTCTTACCTTCTGTGTTCTTGTTTTTCATCATAATGTTTATTGTAGCAACAAATGCAAAATACTTCTAGAGAATTTGTTCCTGGTGTTAGGTAATACATTCTGGCTCCATTACAGATTCTATAACCTTTTCTCAGCTTCACACACTTTCTGAGAATGTTCTCAGCACCCATTCTCACCTTGGCCCGTGACTACAGCCTGAGACATCTCCCATCACACTTTGGAGACTGGTTAAGTCAGTTTACTTCTCTGGACATCGACTGCCTTATTTCGGAGGCAAAAATACTGACTTGAAGGATAAAAAATTTAATGAGCTTAAAAATCCTTCTCAGTGTTAGCATGCAGTGGCTCAGATTTGATTTGTTCTTCTTACTCTGTACAGTACAAAGTTAGTGAAGTGACACCTCCCCAGAGCTCTTTAGCTACAAAGCAACCCCCAAGGAGACAGACTTCGACTCCAGGCACTTCATTAGAAACTTCCCTCCTCCATCCAATGGCCTCTATCCTACCTCCTGCTTTTAAAAATTCAGGTTTCTAAGTACAAGGTTCTTTGAAACCATATACAGCCACAGTCAGGGGGGACCTCAGCATTGCCATCTACTCTAATTCTTCATTGAACAGATGGACTGAGGCCAAGAGAAATGATTCGCTCAAGGTCATAGAGCCAGCAAGTAGCAAAACTGAGGTACATAACTCCTGACTTTCAGTCCAGTGCTCTTTCCACTGTACCCAGGTGCCTGTCATCAAATGATTATGGCTTCACAGGAATGGTATACCTAGAGATGGCTTTATGTACTCTAGTTTCTTTGGCAAGCTAAATTTCTCTTTTAATTCTAGAATATTTACGCTGAGCATCAGGGGTCTGTGGACACTGTTGCTCCAGTAATCCAGCAGTAGAGGTGGCATCCACAGTAGGAACAAGGAGACTGGGCGTGTCAAATATGACTCACTCATCTTCCTGGGAACTGTGGCCTCAGTGTGCTTTAGTGAACCATTTGCTGAATGATATGAATTTCAATTCTTAGAGTCTGAAATGGTCAAATCCAGTGATGAGATGGTAGAAAGGCACATTTATTTAGCAAATATTTTGTTCTAGATTCCATGCTGGGTAGTGTAGTGATTAAGCTGGGACTTTGAAGACAGTCATATAGGTTCAAATCCCAGTTTCGTTATTAGTTGTTGAATCTTGGGTAAGTTATCAAACCTTTCTGTGTTAGCTTACATATCTGCAAAATGGAGCTGCAGCTGCTATTACCTACCTAGAGAGGTTATTAAGTTGAAATAAATTAATATGTATTAAGCACTTAGGACAATGCCTGATATCTAGTTAACTGCTGCATAGTGATAGCTATTACTATACAAATTTAAAATATATTCATATAAAACACCAATATATGTTTTGCCAGAATGAAATGACATACATTAAATACATTAGAATAGCTAGCTACCTATGAAGATATAAGGAAATTACACTCCCTCACCGCCTCCGCCCCCGCCAAAAACCCAGGCACGTAATTCTAGAGTCCCTGCTTTTAATCATTACAGATACTGCTTCTTTATTCAAGGCATCAAGCATTCATGCAGAGGCAGGAGGAGCACTTGGAAGATGGTCTCCTGCATCAGATGGAAGATTTAGGCTTTTCTTTTTCACCTCTTAACTTTAGGATCTGCGGGTCATACTGTTTAAAGAGCCTGCTCAGATTCTTCTAGCTACACTAAGCTTCTGCAGAAAGCAAGGAGATATGTTTCCAACTGTATCATCTCTGATGCCTGGAATGCAGGTCCATGAGCTTCATCAATAAGTTTTATACAAATAGGTAGCAAAAGTGTAAATGTGAGAGGCTGAAAAAAAACTTAATGCCCAAAATAGAGGACTAGCTAAATAAATTATGCTCAACAATATAACAGAATATAGGAAGACTACAAGATGGAATAATATTAAAAACCTAGAAAAATATTCATGATCTATTACTATTCATGATATACTACAGTGTGGCATGTAAAATGTGTGTGTATATATAAACATACATGCACATACATATGGACACACACATACATGTACAGAAAATGGCAGGCAAGTGATTATTTTGAGCATGGGTATTAGGAAGAGTCTTACTTTTGGATTATTTTATCTATATTTTCCACTTTTTCTACAATAAATCTGTATGACATTTATAAAGGTAAAATAATTTATTAAAAGGTAGCAGGAGAAGCACCCATAGTAAAGGCTGTTTTTCCCATGGATCTCGTGCTCCTCTTCTATAATCAAGTTGAAAATTATCTTTTCTGTTCCTGCCAGGCTGATGCGATGGCTCCCACCTTTGTGCCCAGGTGGCTGCTCTTATATATGGCTGTCGCAGCATGGATCCCATTGCATTCTAGTTATTAGGTACAAACCCAGTTATAATCACTTGGCAGAGAGCCTGGCATATGAGTATGTATGAATTAATTAAAGAATTAGTAGGGGCTCAACAGCTTGGATTTGGATACAAGTTCTGCCATTTATAAGCTAGGCGAATCCCAGGCTTCTGATCTGTACAGTGTCAATAAAAATCATGGGTCAAGAGACCTCCAACAGTTTTTGTAAATGGCAAAGTGCTGGTCACAAGAAGGGTAGGGGTGCAGAGAGTGAGTTTATTATTATTGCTGCATCTATTAACGGGTCTAATCTTCCCAGCTCTTATTTCTCTTTGGCTCTCTAAGGCATCGTGGTTACCATAGCAGCCAGATCCTGATGATGCCTCCAGGGGCAACAAGGTGAAGCTAAGCCAGCTCCCAGGTCCTTGCCTTCACATGCCCTTTCTTTCGTAGGGCCAGAATAAGATGGTCTGAAGCTCAGCCTCCTTTTAGGACCCCCACTCTATCTCTGGTCACTTAGACCCACAAACCTTGCCTCTGCAGCCTCAGGGCCCTGAAACACTCCTTCGAAGACTTCCTCCTACACAAGCTCCATCTCTGGCACTCTGCCTGGTTGCCGTGGAAACAGGTTCCACTGCGGACAAAGGAGGGAGCTGGGTCCTGCTTCCTCCTGGTCTTGTAGATGAGGATTTTTAGACCGTGGAGACTGCGCTGTCCTGCCCTGCACCTGCCTTCGCTCTCCGTGTTCTCATTCAAGTGGAGCTTGCCCTCCTTCACCACAGACGAGACGATGTGTAAAAGTGTGACCACAGGTGAATGGAAGAAAATCTTCTATGAGAAGATGGAGGAGGCAAAGCCGGCAGATAGCTGGGACCTCATCATAGACCCCAACCTCAAGCACAATGTGCTGGCCCCTGGCTGGAAGCAGTACCTGGAATTGCATGCCTCAGGCAGGTGAGTAGCTCAGTAAGTAGGGCCCTTGCAGGCAGCCTCTGCAGAAGAGACAGAGATATGAAGAACCCAGGTGCTAAGGGTCAGTCTCACTGTTGGACCAGCATAGACTGTGAGGCAGAGAAAGAATCCTTTACTGGGAGCTGGGACATCTGAATTTGATTTCCAGCTTTTCCACTGAGTACCTATGTAACTTTCCCTCTTTGAGTTCAAGTTTGCACTTCTAGAAAAAAGGTGGAGTGTACTTATTAGTCCTAAACTCTGACATTTTATATATTTTCCAGATTTTAATAATTTCTTAAAATGGTTAAAAGAAGGAGGGTTTGAGGTCCACTGGGGGTTCAAGGAGTCTGTGCTCCAGTCCTGGGACAGTTCAGTTTCAATTTATTTAATTCAGCTTGACTTAATATAAAATACTGAACACATGAAGTGTGCTAGAAGCTGAATCTACTCTTAGCTCCATGACCCCTGAATAATTCCATTTCCTTCTTGTACCTCACTTTCCCATTTGTAAAAGGAGGGTTTAGCCTAGATCTTTGCCTTGTGGTTCATGGAGCAGCAGCATCAAAATCACCTGGAACTTGTTAAGGATGCAGAATCTCACACTCCATTCTAGACCTGCTGAATCATAATCCATTTTAATAAGGCCACTAGGCATATACAATATTGCACATATGTATGTTACTGTATATTATTATACAGTATATATGATTGATATATGACATATTACTATATAATATAATATATAATAATATACAGTAATATATCATATATACAATAATATCTAGGATGACTTTCCAGGACTCTTGTCCACTGGTCTTCTATTACATAAAGACTTTTGGGACATAAGATAGGAAGGCTGAGTGGTGCCACCTGAGGGTCAGCAGCAAGGCCTTCTTTCCTGCCCAGGTGCAGTCTATTCAACTCAATTCAAGAAACATCTATTGGGTACCTGTGAAGTGCTGGGTACTGGCTCTGCCTCTAACTAGCTGTGCGTATATGGATTGCTTTCTTATTCTCTGTGCCTTGGAGTAAAACAAAGCATTAATTAGTTGATTTCTGAGGTCCTGACATTTTCTAACCCAAGTTTTGTGGTCTCGACTGAGAGAAGGTAAATAGTCCCTAAAGAATGTAAGAAAAAGAAAAATGAAAATGTGAAGCCCCTAAATTGGCTGATGGGAGGGGTACAAATGACTGGATACTTCCTGATAAGGCCCAGCAACTTCTTCAAGACTTGGAAGGCTTGCAGAGCTGAGACGGGAGGGCTAGTGGCTCCTCCAGACCGGCTGGTGACCTGTGATCCCCAGCTGGCCTTAGTGAGCAGCTCACTCTGGCCCCCACTTCCAGGCTTGGGATGTATCAAGTCTGGCACTGGCCGGAGTCTGAAAGATGATAATTGTATTTTCTCCCGATTTGGGCCTAGGCTGTTCAGTTAGTGTTGACAGGTAAACATGGGTGGATGGATCAGGGGTTTCCTATATGATGTGGCCATCCCAGCTATCAGGTTCAAAGACAGTGTGAGCAGGAAGGACTCATCTAGTGCAGCTCATTTTGCAGTTGAGCAAATATGCCTGAGGGCATTGGGATGGAGGGAGCTGAGGTTTCTGCAGAGCACAGAGGAGGTGGGCTGGGTGAGGGCACAGTGCTGCTGGATGCTAGGTGTATCCTGAGGAGCTGCTCTGGGCTTAGCAGCGCACACAAGGGGCAGGCTGGGTAGCGTCCTGGGGAAAGCTAATGAACCCTGGGGATCGTAAACATACTGGCTCCACCTCCAGGTTTTGCTTACGGACCATCACTCACTTCCCGGCGCGGTTACCACTGCCTTCACTCCATCTTTTCCCGCTACTTCTCTCTCAACCCGCAGATTCCACTGCTCCTGGTGCTGGCACACCTGGCAGTCACCCCACGTGGTCATCCTCTTCCACATGTACCTAGACCGCGCCCAGCGCGCGGGTTCGGTGCGCATGCGCGTCTTCAAGCAGCTGTGCTACGAGTGTGGCACGGCGCGGCTAGACGAGTCGAGCATGCTGGAGGAGAACATTGAGAGCCTGGTGGACAACCTCATCACCAGCCTGCGCGAGCAGTGCTACGGTGAGCGTGGCGGCCACTACCGCATCCACGTGGCCAGCCGCCAAGACAACAGGCGGCACCGTGGCGAGTTCTGCGAGGCCTGCAACGAGGGCATCGTGCACTGGAAGCCCAGCGAGAAGCTGCTGGAGGAGGAGGCGACCACTTACACCTTCACGCGGGCACCCAGCCCCACCAAGCCGCAAGCCGAGGCTGGTTCTGGCTGCAACTTCTGCTCTATCCCCTGGTGCTTGTTTTGGGCCACGGTTCTGCTGCTGATCATCTACCTGCAGTTCTCCTTCCGTAGCTCAGTCTAAGATTCCCTTGGTGGGTCCCAGGGGACTCTAGGGGCCCAAAGCCAAGTGAGGGGGAGCGGCTACCAACTGGTGGGAGGGGGCGAAGAGAAACCTGGGTTAGGAGTGGGGTTAAGTTATAGCACTGGTGCCTCCACTGACTCAGATGTTCCTTGGACAAATCACCCAGATTTTCCATCTATAAAATCATGGGTTTGGGCTAGACCATTGGTTGTCTCAAGGTGAAACCCAGGGCCCCAAGTTTCTGCAAAGATGCCTCAGAGACTTTTGGATTTGGAAGGTAGACTGAATGAGTGGGTTTCCCAGCCTGGTCAAACTGCCCATCCCCAACTCTTACCTCTTCCTGTTGCTTTAATCAGAAGAGCTCCATTTTAGATGGAGTTCCATTTAAGAGTTTTTAAGTTTGAAAATTATAGGACTAAATGATCTCAAAAGGACTTTGCACAGCGATGGGTGCATCCTTGCTTTCTTGTTAACCCCCCATCCCTACCCCTCAATATCTCCCACATCTGGAGATGCAGGCTTAAATTAGCTCTGTATAATGTATGAGCCTCATACATGCTCTTCTTCCTGTATACACAGCAGAGATTCCTCTTGAAGAGAGAGAGATGGGGGCATTAGGCTCTCTCTTTGCTGCTGTGTACACAGGCTTCCTAGCTTCTCTTCTCCAGACTCCCAGTTTCCAGCTTCCCTCCACTCAGGGTAGATTCTTGGGTTTGCCTGGCTAAGAGATATTGCTTGGGATAGAGTCCTATAAAGCTAGGCTTCCCACCTACTGTATTTGAACTGGCAGAGAATTTAGGGGAGGTTTAGAAGGTAGAGTGTTAGAAGCAAACCATAAAATGCCTAGGAAACAAATATAATGACTTTCCATTATAATGAAGAGTCTTCAGAGTTCAGGGACAAAGTCTGACTGATTCTCAGCGGTTCTGATGGCCAGAACACAGGGGCAGGGTCCTGGCATCCTGAACTCTTTGCTGAAACCCTGCTGGAGAGGCTTTCCCACATTGGCCTTGCGTAGACGCTCTCACCAAAGATCAACTGTCTACCTAGAACCACAGGGATAGGAGATCATTAGCAAGAGACGGAGTATTAGAGATATGAAGTAAAGTGCTTTGCCCATAAACAAGTGCATAGTTATGTGGGAGAATCTTATATCTCTGTAAAATGGGGTGCAGTATGGCTTGGAGTGAGAAGAGAGAAGACTTTTGGAGTTGGGGTATGGACTGGGGTTTGGGGGAGGCAGAAAGCAGGAGGTAGGATGCCACCCTGCACTTTCGAGGGGCCTTATGCACCTCAGCTCTGTTAATAACTTGACTCCTTTTCCCCCTCTCCCCACACTGATCCCATTTTAAATGGAGAATCATCATCATCTGTAGTGGTGGAGGGAAGAGGGCCACTTATATAAAGATGGGATACTTTAATAAAAATGGGATATCTTCGGGCTTAGTAGTCATTAATGTGTGCTTCAGATTTGCCACACTATCCCCGATCTGTAATTGGCTGTCGAACACCTCCCATCCCTTCTGTCTCCTATCTGGGACCCCCACATAAGGCTTTATCTAGTTCCAGCTTCAAAGTCTAGGCCAATCATGTCCATAGTCAGGAGGGAATCAGGCAGCCCTTGGTCAGTTACACAGGAGACCTAGCGTAATAACAGTCTTACTCCTACCATTGCTCTAATTCTGGTAACCAGCAGGTGACTTCCTTCTCTTCATTTATGCAGTATTCATTCCTTTATCCAGGGCATATATCTTAAGCACCGTCTATCTGGCAAACCCTGATTTGGATGCTGGGATCCAACGGGTACTAAGGGGCAGGTTCTGTCTCTCAGATTCTCTCCTTACTGCAGAACCTCTCAGCCCTGGGTGCACGTTAGAAATCCTGGGGAGCTTTTAAAGAAATATCAGAGCCCAGCCTCCACCTCAGACCAATAGAATCAGAATTTCTGGACATGGGGGTTGAGCATCTGAATTAGAATAAGACCCCCAGGTGATCTACCTGTGCTACTTAGTACAATGCCTTCTAACAGGAACAGGTTTCTTTTGGCACCATCTTATAATAATGAGCCCAATACTTTTCTTGATGACCTGCCTTGAATTCTCTAGGACTAGAGCTCAGCTTTCCTACTCACTCCTACTCCCTGCTCTGGGGACTCGACCCTCTTTAAAACCATCCTGTTCACTTGCTAGGATGAGGGCTTTATTGTGCTCTGAGAGTCTCCAGTATTGAACTCTGCCTCCCTGGCCAGATACTTATCAAACTTTGTTATTATATATCAATGGCTATACTCCCTGCAAAAATGTGACCAGAGTGTAGAAGTGACTTACCCCAGGTCCCACTGCCAGGGACTTAGTTTTAGTCCAGAACTCTTTCCTAAAACATTAAGCTTCGTCCCGCTCTGTAGGGAGAGTTCTACAATCTACGAAGGCCTCTGACTCCCTTATTGTCTTTCACACTTGCTGTAGATGGGGGTGGGAGGCATTCTAGTCTGGCTCACCACCTTAATATCCCTGTCTTGGCAAAGACTTCTATGGGATAGTTCTTTCTTTGCACATATTGCTACATGCCACATGATGAACTTGTTAGATATATCTTCAGTGTTATAAATAGACTCAGGGATATTCCAGGATCCTAGGCCTCTCCCACTGGAGATTCTGTGTATTGGTCTTGATGTGCAAGCCATAAGGAGACCTACAAGCACTCAATTGTGGTTCCAGAGGCTGAAATCCTCAGCATAAGGTCAGCAAGAAGTGCTGCCTTGATCACTTCCCTCAAACTCATTGGGACCAGGGACAAGCCCAATAGAACTCTTCATGGGGGTCAGGAGTGCTGAGAACCAAGACCACTGACAGTTGCCATCAGAGTAAGTTTATAGACCATGAGATTAGAGATGCCTCAGTCTAGGGCTCTTAGGTCATGGATAAGAAACTGAAGCCTAAGGAGAGTAAGAAACTTGACCATTATGGTACAGCACGGAGTAAGGGATGATCATGAAATCTGGGGTTAAGAAACACTTGACTTCTGGTCCTGCAGCTTCCTAGCTGTATGGCCTTAGGCAAGTTACTTAAGCTTCTTGAGCCCCGTTTTCCTCCTCATCAGAATGAGAATAATACAATCTGCCTTGAAGGGCTACGGTAAGGAATAAATAATGCACGGACTGTGACGTTGCCAGATAAAAAGCACATGCTCCCCCTCTTCTTCCATTTCTTTTGCATTTTAATTGACACCACTTCAAGTCTTGAAAGGTTCATTTTCTTTGTGATTTCAGCTCTGTTGGTAAATACTTTGGTGGAGGGGGGGGCGGGGGGAGGCGAGTGGGGGAAGAAGGTGGAAAGGGTTAACTTCTCAGCCCAAGGCTGAGACCTGGTCTATTTTAATATATGTAGAGCCATTTCTTTTCTTTCTCTTATATGTATTTCAATATCTTCATTTTTCCAGCAGCATTATAGCCCCTCTTCATTCTTCAAAGATAGCTATTTAAAATATCTCCCCAAACAGAAAACACCAGTGATTTCTGGGCTCCATTCCATTGGCTGAAATATCCCAGAAAGAATTTAGTTCTTTTCCAAGTCCCATTCTAATTCTCTGTAGGACTCCCAGCTAAGGAATTTCCTTTGGAGTCATTTTTGGCATTGCGGGGGCACTGCCACATACACCAGGGAAATGAAATCCGCCTGTTGTATGGCTATTTGGTGACAAGGCCTCCTTGTGAGGGTGTGTGGGGGTGATATTGGAAGCTCATTGGTCTGGGAGCTGAGCAACCTGGGTTTCAGCCCTGGTTTATCTACCATGTAGATATGTACATTGCTGATGTTGGGTGACTTAGTCTTTTCCCTCCACTGGGTCTCAGTTTCCTCATTTGTAAAGCAAAGAAGTAAAGTAATCTGAAGGGTCCCAGCTAGCTCTGACCTTGTCACCAACTGCTGCTTAGCCCTATTTGTCCTGGATCATTTGGGGGTGGGGGGTGCCCTGCCTCTGACTCCTTCAGCAGATCATCGAGTTGTTAGTCTGGGATTTCAGTCTGCCTGGGCTGGTTTGGAATTTGACTTTCTTATCTGAACAGCCATAACATCTCTCTTTCCTTTTCTTTCTGGAAGCAAACTTTTATACATCTTACTCTGACAAGACTGCTCTAGAGATATTCACATTTTGAAAGGCAGTTATTCTGAGAGATGTTGCCTATACAAGGGCTTGGATGGTAGTGATGGAATTTCAGTCTGTCTTTTCTCCCCTCACTTCTAAAATAAGCTCAATAATTCTTCACTTCTGTCTTAACTGGGTCAATACTTGAAGGGCAAAATAACATATTCCCTATTTTCAAGATTCATTTATTCAACAAATGTTTATTGAGTACATATTATGTGCCAGGCATTGTTCTAGACACTGGGGATATATTGGAGAGCAAAGTGACTAAATCACTGACCTTATGGACTATAGAGGAACTAGACAATAAACAATGTAAGTAATATGTTACATAGTTTTAAGTACTAAGGAGAAGAATAAAGTAGGCAGAGGGGATAGAAAGGGCATGGGATGAAGTTACAATTTTAGGTTAAGTAACTAGATCTTACTAAGAAAGTGACATTTGAAAAAAGTTGAAGGAACTGAGTAAGGGGTATGACATGTACAAAGGCCCTAAGGCAGAAGCAGATGGAATGTTCACCTGTGAGGAGGCCAATATGGCTAGAGTTGCAGTTCAGGCTTTCGTAGTCATAACTAAGTGGTAACAGGGGCCAGAGTAGTAACAAGGGTCAAAACATTTAAACCATAAATTATTGTCAGGACATTGGTTTTTAATCTGATTGAGACAAAAAGCCAAAGGAAAGTTTGAGCCATGGGGTGATGCAATCCAATTAGCATCACGTGTTGAGAGTATACCATAGAGAGACAAGAATAAAAGAGGAAAAATTAGCTAGGAGGCTCCTGCAGTAGTCCAGGAAAGAGGTGATAGTGACCTATTCCAGATTGGTGGCTTGTACCAGGGTAGTGGCAACTGGGACTGAGTCTGAATCTATTTTAAAGGTACAGCTGAAAGGGTTTGCAGATGACTCAGATGTGGGGTCTGAGAGAACAAGAGGTCAAAAGGACCCCAAGTTTTGTTTTTGTTTTGTTTTTGTTTTGTTTTGTTTTGGCCCGAGCAACTGGAATAATAGAGTTACCACATTCTGAGATGAGGAAGGCTATGTAAGGAACAGATTTGGGGCAATATGAGGAGCTCGGTTTGGGACATGTAAAGTTTGAGATGTGTTTTTGGCCTTCTGTTAGACATTAAACGTGAGAAATGGCAAGGCGAAGGTGGCAGTGGCCTGTTTATACCTGCAGAGGAGAGGCCCAAGCCAGAGATGGAATTGGAGTCATCAACATTTAGGTAATACTAAATGTCATGAGATTAGAT